ATTTATGCAAATTGAATTTCAAAACAACATGCAAATCCAAATAAGCATAAATATAATTGCAAATCATATTTAAAGTAAAATGTGAGATTCATTATATAATTAAAAAAATGCATATCTAACTGAAAATTAACATAAATAGAAATGCAAATGTAGAGAAAAATATATGACAAACTGTTTTAACGGTTTAATAATTAATCTTTTTGTTTTGCATTCTTCGGGTTTTTAGGTAGAGACTGGTATTTTTAATTACGTAATGTTTATTAGTAAATAACTGATAAGTAACTCATGTTATAATGACAGACTAAGAATGTTATGATGCCAGACAGTTCCGTCGATTTCGTAAGAGCCGTATATTTTCGTCACGTGTTATTCTACATGTTTACATAAATTCGAAGAGTGATATCATTTCGATAAATATTATGTTCAGGAATGCATGTTGGTAGTATTATTCCTTCATCTCTCCAGCTAGAATAAGAGAGTGCATTCAACATGGCAGTGCTCGAACGGGATTGCATAACATACCTTCCTGTGCTCAAACACTGTTAAAATGATTTCAAACTTCACATACCAACCAGCATTTGAAAGTAAGCGAACATTGAGAAGACAGTTTTCAGATATTCTATTCTGATGAATGGAGTCAATACAATGTATAGTTACTGCATCATGCCTGTACGGCATTTGTTTTGACAATGCAAATGCAATATTGTGCACTCTAAATTATATGTCATGATACTTTACCTAGTTAGCGATGGGTTAATACGTAGCAACTACGCATACTCAAATTAATATATTAATACTCGACAGTTGAAACAAACAGTTGAATACATAAAGTTATAATAAAAAATAAGTTTAGTCACAGGGCATTTCATGATATTAAAACATGACGGTTGTCAATACCATAATTTAATCAATTGAACGCCAGGAAATTGCAAACATCAATATTTGCAAGAATATATTCTATTCACATGGGGAACAACGGGTACGCACATCGACACAGAAAGATTGCCCGAAACTTTTATGTCATATAGCTTCCTTGCCAAATGTGCTGCTGGCGAGTTGCAATGTGGGAGATATTTGGAATGATATGAGAACGTGAACAAATAACCTGACATGTAAGCAGTGTGCGTATTCCATGATTGATTTTGTTCTATTACTTTCGTTTAAAAACATCGGACACATTTAGACCGAAATCGTCTAAGGCAAGAACTAAATTGAATGATTGAGACCGTAAGCCCTTATCAACTGATAAAATTCGTGTTAAACAGTAATGAGAACATTTAATTTGCCTATATACACGTAATAGAAATGAAGGAGAAGAAACCATCATAACTAATAACAATACAAATCCAATGTACAAACAAGTAAGCAAAACGAAAACGAAATGTAAAAATCTAGTTTACCTATCAGTTCGCATACACAGTGAAAGAGTAAGGAAAGAATCCGGCATAGAAACAAGTACATGTATCGGAAAATGGAATCGAAATGTATGATAACAAATAACATTATTAGTGCAATGTATTACCACGTTTTGAGTGACAATTTAATTGCAAGCCATTGAACAATTAATAAATTAAATTGCTATACCAATTCATGCATATCATGCACTCTACTTAAAATGCCGAGTAACAGGTATTGTTTGAGTGTGTGTTGTCTCCAGGGTTATAATACCCAGTATGTTTATTCATCGGTAGTTAGTCCACAACAACTAGTTATTTAGAATTCTGTGCACGCCCTACCTCGCGACTGTTTTTTTTTTATTACACAGAAAATTAATACATTGTCATAATTACAAAGGTACCATATGGCGGTATACACAATTTTAGTTGCACATAGATGGGTTTCAGTTTAACTTTCTGTGCCGACTCGCAAATTAACAAACCATTTCTGATAGTAATGACGATATGCGATTGCAATGTCTCAAACCACTATATCAGTAAAATAAAAAGTCCGCCAATGGTAAATTTTGTAAATTAACGAAAACATGGCACATTGTTTGTTTTTTCAGATGAATGTACAGTAGCATACAATTCAAACTAGTATATATATTATTTATACTATAAACGATTATGTGATTAGGTTATAGTGCTATAAACTAAAGCCTATAAACCTGACGATCCAATCGTGATTTATATTTCAGTTCGATCAATTGAAAAAAAAGACGGTCGATTTGTCTATTGAAGGTGCATTGCATTATGTGTGTGACAGATCCATACAAGAAAAAAAATCACGATTTGGCTGGTAACGAAGAGACTTAATATTCATAAGAGTAAACATTATTTTTTCAAACGCATTTGCTGTTATTGCATGGCTTATCTTTGTATGACCTTTAGTTCGTTCGTGTGCGATGTGAGATTAGGTGTGTTGAGGCAAACTAGACCGCAGGGCAAACGGTTTTTCGTTACCGTTCCCCTACGCAGTTCGCTATTGGGAAGTGACGCCCAACAGGGACATATATTCAAAAGCGGAGTTACATGCATATTGCATGTGAAATCACGAGTAGTTTGTTTAGGTGGACTATTTATCATCGTTTCCCGACGTTCTATAACACAACAAATGAATACACTATATTGTCTTAACGTTGCTTAACATCTTTAAGATCCATCAACGCCACACACAAGTCCATATTTCGGCATGTCACCAAACGATACATTAGCGGATTGAATAATTTGACAAACTGTCGATTCTGAAATTCGTTATTTGTCACTCGCAATTACGGTTGAGATGATCTGCTACGTTGTCTATCCGCGAATTAATGTTTAAACCAAACATGTCTGGCTACCGATTGAACTAATCGCTTCAAGCCGGCGTTGAACATTGGTACGATTTTGTTAGGGTGTGTGTTTTATAATAACAAGTAAGTATGAGGTATTTCTCGTTGCATATCACATCAATAACGAGAACATGGGCGAATCAATTTAAGCTTTACATTTGGTGCGAGGACACTATCGATGTGCACTCAAGCCTCGATAGAAAGGACTCATTAAATAAGTGTCTATGAAGGGCAATGCTAGTGAGATTCCGTAATTTTCCTTCGTTGCCCCGGGTATTGACATGTTTTTTCAAAACGTAGTGGAATTATCAGTAGCACATGAAAATGGAAGCGCACATAGAATGTTATGACAATTTAAGTCAAATGACCCTGTTAATGGAGCTGATACACAGTGGAAATTTCATTAAGCCATTCTGGGCTTCCTCCGCTCACTGTCAGCTGCAGATGAAGTTGAAGAAACGAGTAATAGAAACTGACATCTCAAAGTGACGTGAGAATTAACAGAATTGCTTCCGTTTTCGATTTAAATAATATTGTTCCCGACGTCTCTCAATGAATCCTGTAAGCGAATTAATCAAAGGTCGTCGAATGCATTGAATGTTGAAATTATTTTAAATTTAAAATCTTCCCTCGTCATTCCAAATGTTGCCCACAATACATTTTAGGGGAGTTGCCTCCCGTTAAACATTTCATTAGATTGTCTTCTCTTATAATATAGTTTTGCTTGTTGGATACCGAATCACATATATGTAGTTATAAGATAGAACATTTCTAATAATTTCAATTCATGTTTTATAAAATAATGATTATGATTAACTAGCTCCGAAATGTTCATTTTCTCAATAAATTAGTCTTTTGTTCAAATCAATTATGATTTCTCACTCATTCAACATGTTGAACAACCTTGAACTTGATCATAAGTCGCTTGTCCCCGATTACATTGAAGGAACCTATTACAAAAAAATCTCTGATGCTGGGTGAATTTCATATTCATTATTTTTATTTATAAAAGAAAATATACAATGTGCACCGATATTCAGACGCGTAAAAGCCGTGCCTTATATATGTAAGGTAATTTCAAAATTACAATGATTTAAATATCCGTAAATATAAATGTCACTCTCTATGCCAGGGATAACAAGCCCAGAGAAAATAAATTGAATCACATAGTTGATATAGATGTCTTGGACTGACATAATTACGTTATTTAGAAATCCATCTTAATAATCATTTAATTTCATAGACAAATATTACTTGCACTAGACGTATAATAGAAACAAATCGTATATTTCGGATGACATGGATATGCAGCAGAACAAACAACTTAATAAATTCTAAATGTGTGCGACATTATGATGGCCACATGGAATTCGTAAAGTAATTCGTGAAATTATTCGTTTTCTTCGGCTAATTACTTTAGTATGTAAATGTTATTTTCAGTATACATCTCGGCAAACTAAAATGGTTAATCATGTTTGTAAACTATGGGAACCAGGAAACCACTTCACACTTGTGAGCGTCTACCACTCCCCATACTATACTGTTATATTAATCATGGATTAAATTTAAAAAAAAGAACATATGTATTTATTTTTGCATGAAGTAGAATATCACATCAAAAATTTGCTCCGTATTATAAATACCTACAACACTAATGATATTATGATTACAGGATTAGCCAATATTTGAGTCCGATCTTTTATAAACCCTATTGTGTGTGATGATTCCAAGTCTAAATGAACATGCAAACGGGATTTGTTCTTCGCCCATTGTGTTTTCTACGTCAAAGTGGGTTGATTAAATTTGGTGTCCAACATGATACCATCATCGATATTGTTTAGCAGTTATAAGATATGATCTTTTACAAATGTATCATCACAACAACGCAATAACATTAATCGAAAAAGTTAACTTATTGGTAAGAGTTCGAAACTGTATTCCAGGCAATGCCATCGGAAACATGATATGTCAATCTGTTTTGGTAATATTTTACTGTCATTGTGGTTATTCACGTACCATGTATTCGAGCATTTGTATTGGTCGCCCTGCGTAACAAAACATATTTGACTATATTTTGCAAGTGGCTATACTGAGTGATTCTCAATGGTTTGTTTTTTAACACTCACACCGAAAATCTTGCTTGTTTTATATTTTCTGTCACCCTTTACTGCACAGCGACCTGTATAGTTTTTCTGTGCAGCGTACTGTCTCTGTCAGAAACGGCACCTACCACACAACATCCGGGTAAAGGCAGTGCGAAATTCTCTGTTAAATATGGTATAAATTACCGGATTTCCACAGCTATTTGCATAGCCTATCCATGTAATAAAGGCTTCAACGTATTTATTCATACCGCAAGACGAGCCACAGAAAGGCATTATAATGTACATGATGAAGAACGGCAGCCAACATAACACGAATGAACCCATGATTATTCCTAGTGTCCGCGCGGCTTTCCGCTCTCTGCTAACTGATATCCTCGTCTTTTCCTCTCGCATTTGGTCTATCATGTCTTTCACACTTGAGTTCGCTGTCATAGTAACAGACGGAGTTCCCATCCGATTCGAGCCATCTTGCAGGTTACTATCGCTGCTTGAGCTTTGTTTAAAATTGGTCGGCTGACTCGTGAACGTAGCTGTGCTTGCCGGTCGACGTTTGCGAATGCGTAGTCTAGCTGCTTTATAAATACGAAAATACACCACTGCCATTACGATAAAGGGAACATAAAATGAACCCATAGCTGAATATATGACATACCCCTGTTCCGATGTAAGCAGACATAGTTTCTCCCATGGTTCACCATCGTACACTCTTGTATGATCATTCCACCCTACCAGTGGTGGCATTGAAATGAGAGCACTCAATCCCCAAACAAACGCAATTATGACTAATACACGGCGCCGGGTTCGTTTAGCAGCATATGCGATGGGATCGGTGATTGCCCAGTAACGATCTAAGGCAATCGCACACAGATTTAGTATCGAGGCTGTGCACAAAAACACATCGCTGGTCAGCCATATGTCGCAGAGTGAATAACTGAAAATCCAATAACCATAAAGATAATTGATGGTCGACAAAGGCATAATGTAAATAGCCACTAACAAATCAGCAACTGCAAGGGAAACAATAAAATAATTCTGGACCACTTGGAGAGAACGTTGTGTCAGCACAGATGTTATAACCAACAAATTTCCAAAAGCAGTCGCAACGATGAGAATGACAAGTATGACTCCTGTCGTTATAGCCTCTGGTACTGGCGTCAGCATTCCTCCTGACCAAGTAGTGTTATTCACAGGTACCATGTTATATCCGGTGTGACAGTCGTAGAAGTTAATGTCAGCAGATCCAGCTTCAATAGTGAACGCCGCACACACGTGTGTACTGCAAGACTACAGCGGCAACGTTTGTATCTTATTACGCCCTACTATATTTGTGTTTCTTGTCGAGTCGTTCACATAAACAATCTTCACACGGAGCGCAGCATCAACTGCACACTGACTGCGCGAACGCTCCGGTGGTTATATCTACCCACTATATTGTGCTCTTCTCTGTTAATCGCGTGATGGCGTACCTCTCAATGAGTCCACATTGAATTGTCTCGATAAATTATGCATGCCCATATAGGTGAATCGAGCAATTTGCATTTTCCTCTCGCAGTATTGAGACACACGAGAAGAACTTATTTATGTGTTTTAGTCACTGTATACGACATTTACTTGAAATTGAAATAACAGTCTCCGAGCAATGTCAGCAAATTCTCTGCACTCAGTCTCACGCTACTCAGCACGGCCACGTTGTCATTAGTCTGTTTCAAATAGTGTTTCACATTGTGTTATAACCTCAGAAACATGAATAGTTGAAGAAGTATCTAATAATCAGCACCACACGGGCTTCCCAGAGTCAACACACATATTGTTCTCCACCAATGTGGCGCGCAGCTTGCACAAGCTGTCGAATGAATTGGTAAACATCAATGAAGCAGGTCAATGGTTGTAGATCTATAAAATGAGAATGGATTACACGTCAGTTGATATATATCATTATATATAACAAACAGTGACACAATGAATAACAATATTAAATTAAAATAATATATTTTATCTAGTACTGGATATGAGATCTTATAATCAATTTAGTTATGTATACATATACTACCGTACTAAGTCCAAACATAGTATTGTGTCATTATGGAGAGTTAATAACAATTGAGTATACTATGCTACCATATATTTCAGTGCGGAAGCTATTTTAGATAATGTTAACATGAGTAGGCAGATCGTATTTATCGTGTGTTACTCATACACAACAGTCAAAGCACATATCATATATTCATTTCTACATCTACACCAAATAAATGGCATTGTTGAAAAATACTGTTATGTACTAAACTTTTGTACATGCGCGTTGTGGCGGTTATACAGTGATCAATAGTTGTGGGCCCTGATATACAATTGTCAGACTCCCGTTCTTGAAATGTTTACATGGTACTGGACAAGCTAAACAGACGCGGCATATGCATATGTTTTTTTTGTGTACAGCACGAATTGATTGTTTTATAGTGATACTATTTTATATGGCTTTTCTGGAATGTACAGACGCTTACAAACCAAAGGGTTTGAGCACCACGTGGCCGTTTTAGTGAGAAGCGTCAAATCAGGTCAAACAGGCCACATATGTGCACGAATGTATCGAGTTCATAACCTTTCATCAAACAAACGCTTTAGGGATTCAATTAGTTCAACTTCACTGTGGTGTATAACATCATTAGTGTCTTTAATTGATTAACTACGTCTTAATTAAAATATAAACGGCCAGATGAACGTAAAATGCCCATTCATACCCCATTCAGACAAGATCAATCCTATGATCACTGGCTATACAAAATATGTTAGGAGGCTTACTGAGATACTAGTAATGACGTTGTCACTCAGTGCCACTTCAGTTGTAAGACTGTCAATTCACTTTAATTGGCCTTGACAATCTAGATATTAATACGCATTCCTTTGCCTGTAAACTGTCGTTTTATACAACAATAGACTACACTATATGTGGTCTTCCCTTAGTTATAACACTAATGCCTTTGCTATATATAGTTTTACCAATTTGGTTAATAAGCTGTCGTGAAGATTATTGTATAGCACACTTTGATTGTACAAAGCAAGCAAACGACAAGTACATTCCACGCGTGACAGAGAAAACAGTGATACTGTACATTTGTTGAACATTGGTTAAATTAGTAAGGATAACTAAGTGTAATAATGTATTGCTATATAAAGTTGTAAACTAACGTGTCAAAGGTTATGGGGGAGTTTCATTGTTCAACTTGCTACCTCCACAAACTGTTACATTTCCAGTTTGGTTACTCTCGTTCAGTACATCAATGTAAGCCAACTGAAATGTATAACGCAGATATCAAATAAAATAGCTCCGCCAAGACAGTGCTCACACTCAAATCGCGTGAAAAGAAATAAATGTTAAAAAGTATCATGAATACTAATTAGTCTAGCTAGTTGTTTGCCCTATTATTCTCCATGAGTGCACAAATATATTTACTAGTAATGTATAGAATTACAAGAATTGTAGTACGTGTGCATTGTGGGAGATGTTAAAAGCAATGAATTGTTGCCGACATATACTGTGAAAAGTGCTAGGTGGGTGGATGGGTGTGTGTATCGAATAATTTATGTTATACGGAATCAACTAGCAAAATTATTATTCAAATCAGTCGCCTGTTTTGGCTATTAGGTTTACAGAAAATTGCATAAACACTCAACTAATTGATTTGAAACGTTATGTATATCTTATATTTGGCAAGGTAACATAAATTTTGAAAAGCAATCCATGATTGATTGATTGATTTTAGGAATCCAACATAGCTGTGAGTCTAAGTAGTCTGAAAAAGTGACATGTGGCATAAATATATATATATATATATATATATATATATATATATATATATATATATATATATATATATATATATTCTTCAAACCTCGCGATTAGGAAATTGTTGCAGTCACGTGACTGGGGTTTACATATCATATGTATCTATACATGATATAATTTGTACAAAATTTTACAATATTATTCTTCAAAAACAGATCATAAGGTTAAGAAATTAATATTTGTGTCAACATTTTTTAGAAAAACTTATAAAGGAATGTTCTGTAATCTTTATACCAGTGATGTACGATTTGAAATTAATTAGAAACCTGCGGCATTTTTTCGGGGATAATAAATATTTAACTAAACATGTTAAACCACTAACTAGACTAATTATGGAGTGTTTCTCATAAACCATTAAGAACGTATCAATCTGACAATGATCAAAGAAGAAAAAGAGATGCAATTGACATGAGAATGAGCTCACGAGTCATGTATTGAAGAGAAAAAAGTAGTTTAAAAGCAAACCTTAGTAACTGCACTAACCGTACAGCTGGTAACAACCTTTCGTGGGTAATTACCTGGAGACATCAATGTCCCCCGAATTTAGAATTTTTAAGGAAAATAAGTGCATAATAGGTTATCGTGAAATACGTCTGATGACACGATTGATAAGAAAGTAGCACGCTGTTCTGATTTACATTACACACGTTTTAGTAATCGCTATAACGTATGAACACATGCTGTGTACAGTAGGGGGTATTCTAGGGTGTAAAGGAGAACGAATAGATATAAGAAAGAAGTGCCATTAGTTTTTTGTCTATATTTTGAACACTTGTTATATCATGGCAATCTCACTCTTGGCTGTAACAACTTACAATTTGCACTATGCAAATACAAACTTCTGGAGCATCATTTTCAAGCCAAGCTACCAAGAACACTTTTGGATTTTCAGAAAGTGAATGTTATACTGTATGCAGAGTAAGGATAATCGTAATCGCAGTTTGCACTATAAATTACAAAGTTAATTGATTATACACGGCGGGATAACTACTCCAATGTGTTCATGTAAATCGTACGAGTGTTTGATATGCGTGCACTGAATGCATCACTCTAAATTTACTACAAGATATGTTATGTAAATATTATAATGATACTGCTTATTTATATTTCGAAATAAAATACACAAACATGAACGTGACACATTAGACATGACAAAAACTATTCAAAATGTGAATTGAGTCAACAGATAATGCAGTATGTAGTTATGTCAACGAACATTATTTTATCAAATCATATCTGGAAGTGATTCGGTGTATCCTACGCTCGGCATTCGTTATACGTTTTTTGACATCGATGTAAATAAATAAGTATGATTTTTGTTGAAATGTCGATTTACAAACTGTATTATTCGCTTTCGATCTGGGCTTTCGATGCCTTTCAAATGGACACGATTTGCGTTTAATGTGGTGGTACAAATATAAATTATAGCTTGATTTGTTGTTCAATTGACGAAGAAAACACTTTTTACGTTTTTGCTTTTTGATGTGTGGTCCTACACTGCAAATCGTCTCGTTTGAAGATTTTGCCATGAAAATACCATGAGTTATTATATTATTTAATTTTTACGGCAATAATATTTAGCAATGATTATAGGGTGCCTTGGTTGTTGCAACAATTGCAAGGAAACCTTGTGTTTGAGGAAGGGATTATCTATTTTACATGCATATTAATGAAAGACAATACATATGATATTCCATTGAAAATGAATGAATAATCAACAATGTATATTTAATAACCTAGATTATTAGTTCTTATATTTTATTATTTATTTATGTTTAAAAATGTAGTAGAGGATTCACATAAGTAAAATTTCCACTAACCATTTCTTTAGAAGAAATGTTTTAAATCATATATTTATGAAAACTCATAATTCACGCTAATTAAAAATCGATGTTACTTTAGATGCAACATTCACATGATTACTCAGTTTAATATAGTTATTAAAGTTTCAAATAAGGGAATTGTTAAGAAATTGAAAAAATACGTATGGCATTAATGTTAAATGTATATATATATATAATTTACACTGTGCGACCACATATCACTTGGCTCATAATTAAAATTCAGATTTAAAGAGTTTTGTTCTGCTATTCAACGAATGCCCGTATCATTTTCCATACGTTTTTTTGTTGGTACATACGTTTGTTTATTTTTATGAATTCATTGCTAAATAAATTGCTTGTATTCTCATGTATCGGGAATAAATACATTTAGGCGATCCGTTCATTTAGCTACTACTATATCATTGAGTGCCACGATGCCAAACAAAGCCCAGCAACGTATAAAGTGCTAGGAATTCGGCCAAGAAATTGACAATCTGGTATACTTTACACATCAATAACTGTGACGGTACTTC